CTCATCCATCAGGATCTGGTGATATCCCGCGTAGCAATCCACAAAAGACCCAATATCATGCTTGGCACAATTATCAATCAGAATGTGGATGTTCGGCAATGGAAAATCATCCTTTGGGATAGCTTTGTTAAGATCACTATAATCAACACATACCCTAGTCTTACCATCCTTCTTTGGTACTGGCACAACACTAGCTAACCGAGTGGGATATCGAGTGACTCGAATGACCTTTGCATCGAGCTGCTTTGTGATTTCTTCTTTGATATTCACACTCATGTCAGTCTTGAACTTTCTTAACTTTTGCTTGACATGAGAGAATGTAGGATCAGTTGGCAATTTATGAACTACCAAATCAGTGCTTAAGCCCGACCTATTGTCATATGACCATGCAAAGACATCTTTGTACTCAAACAGTGCTTTGATTATTTCTTCCCTGACTTACGGCTCCAGATGCACACTTATCTTGGTTTCCCTGACATTATCCTGATCGTCTAAATTGATTGCTTCAGTTTCATTCAAATTAGGCTTTGGTTTTTCTTCAAAGTGCTTTAGTTCTTTACTTATTTCCTCAAATGCTGCTTCTTCATCATATTCTACTTCTTGGATCATTATTTTAGGATTAGACTGACTTTTAAGGCTTGGCTGAAAATTCTTCATGCATGTCATGTCATTAGAACCAGCATAAAAATAACTGTACAAAAGAAAAACAAAATGAAACACTATTAGGAATAAGAGAAAACGGGAAATTTCATTTCATTGAAAATAAAAGGATAGAAGGGTTTGAATATCAAAACAAGCAAAAATAAAAATCTGGATTACAACCTTCGAACAACCTAGATAACAGAAAGGAAAACAAAGCAAACTACCAAAACTCCTTCGGGTGGGGAGAGGAGTAGCTTCCCAATTCCTAAGCTTCACATTTGGCCCAACGAGCTGCACATCTGCGTTACTAGAACTTTCCCCAACTTCCACCATGTTAACCTCATCAAACATACTCTGGAACCTCTTGATTAGCTCTTCATCAACATCGACCACAGGTTTCGGGACTGATGATATTGACCGTTTTGCTGCGCCTGGCTTGACAAAAGACTTGGAAATGTGTGGAATAGGCTTGGGGAGTGACCATACCTTCTGTCTTAAATTTTTAGCCTTTTTCACGTCCTTCTCTATGGGCATGAATCCCAAACCAAATGTACCAAGATTTTCACGTGGGCACACAGGATGCACAATACCCTGTAGAGATGAACCCAGACTTTTACCCGGCACAAAACCATTCTTCAACATTTTATTTGCTACCATGACGGACGCAGAGGATAGCTTCGGTCCTGGAATGCATTCTCCCTCAGAAATCTTCTCAACAAACACAATTTCAAAAGTTTGGTAGACCCAAGGCCCTTTATCATCTCCAGCTTCAATAAATGGAACTGACGGGTCATTATAAGCAGATATGTCCTCATCACCGTGCACAACTATTTTCTGCCTGTCCCATTCGAAGTTTACCATTTGGTGTAGAGAAGACGGGACTGCCTTAGCTGCATGTATCCAAGGCCTTCCCAATAACAGATTGCAGGAGACAGAAATTCCATAGTGAACTCAACTGGCCCTATCGACAATTCGAGCATTATATCACCAACAAAATCTTTACCTCTCCCATCAAAGCCTCGAACACATACACTGTTCATGTGGATTTTTTCAGTGCCGATCTTCAACTTTTGCAAAGTGGACAGAGGGCAAATATTTGCACTAGAGCCGTTGTCAACAAGTACCCTTGAGACAACAGAATCTTCGCACTTCGCCGTGAGGTAAAGAGCTCGATTGTGTTCTGTACCCTCCACAGGAAGTTCATCATTTGAGAAAGTGATCATGTTTTCTTCGAAGATCTTGTTGGCAATCTTCTCCAAGTGATTCGCCGTGATCTTATCAGGAATATGTGCCTCATTCAAAATCTTCATCAAGGCTCTGCGGTGGTCATCTGAATGTATCAGCAAAGATAAAAGAGAGATCTGAGCTGGTGTTTTTCTTAATGTTCCACAATGGAATAGTCTTGCACTTTCATCTTTTTCAGGAACTCTTCAGCCTCTTCTTTGGTGACTGGCTTATTTACTGGCATTTGGCTATCCTTGAATATCTTGTCCTTCCTCAATTCTTCTGGGGTAAAACATCTCCCAGAACGAGTCAGTCCTCCAGTTTCATTTACTTCCTCCTCCACTTCTTTCCCTTTGTATGTCACTATCACTCGTTTGTAATTCCACGAAACAGCCTTTGTATCAACCATCGGCAACTGAGTCACTGAATTAATAATAATAACAGGGGTAATACGAGCTCCTTCCATGACTACGACAGGCTTGTTTGAGATCCCTGGCATGACTACTTTCGACTTTTCCTGACTTGTCCCCATATCCTTCGATGGCCCTTTCACGACCAACACAGGTGGCTTTACGTCGAGCATGCTTGGTTTCTTTGTCACCCCTTCAACTATCAAGGGAATTACTTTGGTAGAGTCTAAAACCTTAATAGAACTATCTTCACGGCACGAATCATCATGACGGACTTGGAAGGATTCCTGAACTCCACATCCTTATGAACTATTTCAATCATATGTGTCTCTGCATGGGATGGAAAAGGATTTTGGTTGATGTTTGGTGCATCTGAGCTCTGGAATACAATCTGATTTGTATCAATAAGCTCTTGGATTGCCCTCTTCAAATGCCAACACTTCTCTGTGTCGTGCCCTGGGGCATCAGAACAACATGCGCACCTCAGAGAATAATCAAGGTTTTTAGGGGTGGATTTGGTATCTTCGCCTCAATCGGCCTCAACACGTCCACTTGCCTCAACCTTTGAAACAAACTAGCATAGGACTCTCTAAGAGGGGTGAAGGTTTCTTTCCGCTATTTCTTTTATTGGACCAGTAGGGTTTCGGTAGGGTTGTGGGGGTGGATAAGTATTTTGTGGAGCTGGAGCACGCCATTGTGGGTAAGGAGGGGGTTGAGCATATGACTGTGCGTGGTGAACATGGTATTGGGGTGGTCTAACTGAGTATTGAGGGTCTTGTGATGGGAAATAATGTTGGGGTGGATTAGATGGAGCTTGGGTGTAGGCTTGGGGTTAGGGTCGAGGGTGAGTGTACTGGTGAGGTAAACCCCTTGGGCCACGCCATGGTCCAGATACAACCATGGTGACATCATCCTTCTTCTTTTTGCCTAACAAACTTCATGTGCCTCTCTGGATTGCCTGTGTGGTTGCTTTTATGGTGGAGTAGTTCATGATCTTGCTTGACTTGAGTCCATCTTCCACCATTTCTCCAATCTTTACCACATCGTTAATGGGTTTACCTATGACTGAGATCAAATGGCCAAAGTAAGTAGGCTCCAGGGCTTGAAGAAAGTAATCGACCATCCCGTCTTCTTCCATCGGAGGATTGACCCGTGCAGCTTGCTCTCTCCATCTGAACCCGTATTCCCTAAAGCTTTCACTGGGCTTCTTTTCTACCTTTGTCAGGGATAGGCGATCTGGGACAATATCTATATTGTACTGAAAGTGCCGGGCAAAGGCCTGATCCATATTGTCCCATGTGTACCACCTGCTAGCAACTTGGCGGGTGTACCATTCTAGAGCTGCCCCAGATAGACTCTGACTGAAATAGGCCATCAATAATTCATCTTTCCCACCGCCGCCTCTCATCTTACTGCAATAACCTCTCAAGTGGGCTACGAGATCACCATGTCCGTCGTATAGATCAAACTTTGGCATCTTAAGCCCGGCGGGCAATTGGATGTCAGGAAATAAGCACAAGTCCTTGTAAGCCACACTTACTTGACTTCCTATCCCTTGCATGTTCCTCAAAGATTGTTCCAAACTTTTCACTTTCCTGAATATCTCATCTTGCTCCACGTTCTTAGGTGGCTTCTTGGTTTCAACAGGAAGCTCAAAGTGAGGGGGGTAATAATAAGGATCCGGGACCTTGAAAGTTGGTTCTGGAGCATAGTACTGGGCATCTGGAACCTTGAATGCAGGTTCACTAGAAGATCGGTGGAGGGTAGCTTACGGAAAGGCTACAAAAACAGGAGTGGATGTTGGAGCGGGATATGAGGTTGTTTTGGCTAGTGGTGCATGGAAAGTTTGGGACGAGGTGCCAGGGTAGTTGTGGTAAGGGGTAAAGCCCGGTGCATGTTGAGGGGAAAGATCGATTGTAGTGGGAACATGGGCTTGTGATAGTGGTGGGATGGAAGCAGGGTTTTCTGTATAGTTAGTGGGGAGTGAGGGAGGAGGATGCCCCCTGATCCAAGTCTGATACATTTCTTCCATTTGTTGTTTCAACCTTTGGACCTCCTCTTTCAATTCAGATTCCGACTCCACAATCTCCCTCGATGGGTCAACAACTCCTGTGTCCAATTCTTTGCTAGCCATGACTACCTTACGCTTTGATCTAGTGTTGTATGGATGACTCGCCAGAATGCCAACAAACTAACCACTTTCCTGATAATATTATAATAAAGATAACAGAGAAGAACAAAACAAAGCCGACATGTTAGCGTTAGGGCATTTATCAGATAATAATATCACATTACGTGCAATGCACCTAGCAACAATCAACGGTTCTAAAATGACTTTGAGGGTTGCATGGTCATATGGCATCATCCCAATTTGCTCATTTCAATCTTCTCCTTTCTTTCTTTTCTAGCACTTCTTGGCTTACATCATTTTCTTTCCACTCTTTTTATCTTTGCTTATCACTCTTTCTTTTTCTCTCATTTCTCATACCCCACAATTCCATTTTTTTTCTTTAATTTTTTTTAAAAAGATTCGATCGAACCCGATGTAGGTTGCCTACGTATCCTTAAAAGGAATCAGGCCAAGAGTAGTTCTGAAAAAATGGTGGAAAATAAAAATCGTTTGGATTTTTCATTTATAATAAAAAAAAATTCTTTCAAATACAAAACAGGGAATATGATAACGAAAGACTCAACAAACTCAACTATACTATGACAGACTCTGATACCACCTAACGGACTCAATACTACTGGACAAGACTAGAAAGTAAATGACAAAATAAAACAGACTCAAAACATATAAATAAAAAAGCCTCCTCAACCTGCTCCTGAGTGCGGTGCTCCCAACTGGGATGGTCCTGGGGCATCTGTCATGCTCAAGCTCTGTAACATGCCTCGTAGAGATGCACCAATGCTGGAAAAAAAGGTCTTGGCGTGTGCCCCGCCTCCTGAAGGCCGACCCTTAACAAATATTGACCATGTTGCTCCACATTTGTTATCAATCCTGTTAACTGAGACCTTATCAACTCAAGCTTACCCCAAGGATCTGGATCCAAAGCCTCCTCAAAATCATCTGTCTGAACTGCCCGACCCCTAAGTTGTGCTGGTAATGGGGTGCTGACCCATGGTGGAATAGACTGCAACCAAATCAAGTACTCTTGAGTACACTCGGGCCTGCCAATGTCCTCTACTAATGTATTCTTCTTCATCCTCTTTGCATTGTTCCAGTATTGCAAGTACTTGATCTCATCAGCCGCCTTTTTGCTAAAATTCATGATGTGCCTCCGAAGATTCAAAATTGGCGGATCTTCCTGCCTCCTGCCCAACTGTCGCATCACCCTATCAACATCAAGAAAGGCTGCATGCGACATCCTACCAAGATCTCATCTAAAAGTAGCCAAAGGTAGGCCCACAAAATATTCCCATTTGTCCTCAAACCTAGGAACTCAATCCAAGCCATGGCGCCTACTGGGTATGTAAACTTAGGAGACTTCATCCTACGCTCAATGCATACCACTCGATCCCGCAAGGCAGAGTCGATGGGGCAAAGTCAGGAAACGGTGTGTAAGTGCTCCATCCACAATTGTAGCAAAAGGTTGCTCCCTTCAAAAATCTAACACCTCCCCTAACCTCACTTAGGGATCGAAACAACTCTATCAAGATCATCGGTACAATGGTAACGACTTTGCGTTGCTTCTCATGAAATAGCGCCATTACCACTGATTGCAGACGGATGCAAATGTGCCTCTCATCTAAAGGAAATACCAATATTCCCAGCAAAGCAAGGTTGAAGGTTTCAAGGCGGCATCTTTGCCATTTTGCCTTGGTTGTGCAAAACTCATCCCAAAAGACATCAAAACTATCATGGGGTCCAAATCTAGCAAACAAATAATCCAAAGATATCCAAGACTGCTTGAGGCATCCTAAATGCTTATTGTCTTTCAGACACAGGTCGCTAAGGAATCTCGTCCTAGAGTGATCTCGGGAAATTATCATGTTTTTGCCTATGTAACTTAGACGAGTGAGACCGGACATTTCTGACAAGGTAGGAGTCATTTCACACTCTCCAAATCTGAAAACCATATTTTGCGGGTCCCAGTAGGTCAACATCTCCTCCACTAAGTCTGGGCGGGGTGTGATATCAAGAAGCGAAGTGAGGGTGCCTAACTTCTCCATTAGCTCATGCTGCTCTAACAGTGAAAATATTTTCCACCACTTGACCAACTTCCTAGGAATCTTTACTACCATCAACACTTTGGATCGAATTAGCGGGTCCATACCTGAATGGATAGAACACGGTTAGCGACTCAAGACACTATGTGACACCACAACACTTCTTATTAGATACATGCAAGACATGATTGGGCTATTTCTGCAAAATGGCCTACGTGGCCAAGGGTGACTATTAGTGCAAGCTCCACAAAGGTGACCTCTAAGACATGGAAATACCCCACTAAGACTTATACGGCTTCAAAACTCCCAAAAATCATGGTCCAAAATTACTTTGCAGAAATGACCCATTTTGCGAAAACGGCCTATATGGCCAGAAGTGGCTAAATGTGCAAACTCAAAAGGACGGAACCTAAGGTAGTGGGGCACTTATTTGTGTACTCAAGATTTTAAGACATGGGTTACTAAATCACTTTTGCGAAAATGATCCCATTTTGTAAAATGGTCGGTGTGGCCAGAAGTGGCTAGAAATGCAAATTCAATAGAGACCAACCTTAAAGTAAAGATACACATGATTGTGGCTTCAAGGATCTAAGATGCGGATCACTGAATTACTTTTGCGAAAATGACCCCATTTTGTAAAGATGGCCGACGTGGCCAAAATTGGCTAGACATGCAAGATTTGGCTACGACCTCCGAAGCCAAGAATTTGAGACTCACTAGGAAGACAGGACCTTATGTGGGCTGCCTACGTATCTCACCCCGAAAGACGAGAATCAGGTATGCGTAGTTCGGGAAGATTGGATATGGGAGAAAGCTTTGAAAAATGCAACTAATTTGGAAAAACCATTTTGTCTTTTTGAAAATAATAAGAAAGTGTAAAATCTTTTTGTTATTTTTTTCTTTTAGAAAATGGGGCAAGAAACTAAAAGTGACAAAACCCTCAATATTCTTTCTTGCTTCACTTTTCACCCTTATTTCCAAACATCAGTCTGCCAAATGACCTTTTTACCCTCAAAGATGCAACATTTAGCACGTAGAATGATTGAATGTCTTTTGGGCCGACGGCCCCATTTGACACAATTTGGACAGGTTTCCTACAAAGGTCACGATACCTAGGACCGGGCCCTGCTAGGTCATAATGATATGATGCAGATAAAAATGACCTAAAGGCTGACCTACGTTTGCGGTTCACTAACAAGGCAATTCGGGGGGCGTATGGTCGATGGTGGCTGCTCAAGCTTTCCACCCACTCCATACGTCCGACGGCCCCCCTCCGAAAATAAGGGTGACTTAACAGAGAGTTCGTGTACGCGATGCGTACTACGAGACTTATTGCAGAAAGAATTGACCGGGTAATGCATATGATGACCGTTATAAAGCAGCAATACATAAAGAAAAAACTGCAAACATATAAACAACTAGCAAATAATAAAACGACATAAACAAAAATAAAAATCAAATAAAGCAAATAAAAAGCATAAAAATCTCAACCGAATATTCTAAAAAGCCAACAAGGTCAAGTATCAACTCGAACCTACAACTCCCCAGCAGAGTCGCCAGAGCTATCACACCCATTTTTTTCACCTCACTAACCCTCTTTAAAATAGATAAAAGTGGTTTAAAAGCTCAAAAGGGTTTTCATTTTGAAAGTGACAAAATTAATTATTTAAAAGGGATTTTCTCAGAGTTGCCACTTGGCATATAACCTCGACGTGCCAAGTCACCATTTAAAAGTAATTTTTCCTTAAAAACATATTTGACTCTAAACCAGTTTGCACCAGAGATTCTAGATAATGTGGTTCATTTGACTCGGGGAGAAGTTGTTAGGCATTCCCCGAGTCCCGTGAAGGTCACGATTGCGTACATGATCAAGTTGGCTTTTAAAATATTCAAATTGAGGTAAAAAAAATATAAAAGAAAAATAAACACAAAAGAGCCTCGAGGCCGTCCCCACCTAATAAGAGAAAATGAAAAGAAAAAGAAAAGAAAAATCCTAAACTAACCTATGCTATGACTTCTCCATGATACTCTTCAAGGCCTCCAAAATATTTACAAAGTTCTTCGGGGCATTCCCCGGATCAATTTAACTAAGGGGATGATCTCTCACCTCAAAAGAAACTAAAACACGAACGACCTAAAGGTTTGCCTACCCAAATGTTGTCGGCATAAGCATGCTCATAGCGAACAATGTAATAAAAGTAAAATAAATAAAACTAAAAGAAATAAAAATTAATTTCATGCTTATTTCCTTGAAACTTCTTATTTCATGCATTCGACCAAGCCCGATCCTAAAGCATGAGAACGATTAATTACTAATGGACTTTGGTCGTTCCCCACTCCCACGACCCAACAAGCATTTGAGGTGCCATCAGCGTAATATTCCAAATAAGCAAACATCCGAAAGTAAATCAAACATACGAGAAATAAAATAAGGACAATAAAGAAACCAAATAAAGAAAAAGGGTGGATTCAAAATATGATAAGAGCCTCCTATTACTCAGCTAGCCCAATCAGTCTTATTCACGACATCTCCCAAAGCCGAAGAACTACCACTCTTTAAATGAAAATCCTTTTTCAAAAATCAATTAAAGAAAAACTTTCAACACCTCACATGGTATGAACTCAACAACAGAACATGAGAATGTGATTTAGCTACTAGAGTAGTCCAACAGAACTTGCAATTCTTCAATTTTAAAACATGATCTTTGTAAATATGAACAATAACTGCACTGAAACTAAATGCACATCAAGTCACCCGCTCAAAAGAAATCAACAGAGAAAAATAGATCTAAATACTAGCCACCTGAATGCAATTCAACTCGACATTAAGTCACAATCGTAGACATCCCAATTTTATCAATTACTCATGTTCAGGTTCAATTATGCCAGCAAGACGAGCTCACAAAATCGAAAGCAAGAAATCAGTTGCTTTAAACCTTAGCCATGGTTGATCTTTTAATCAATAGAAGGAACAAAGCGCAAGATGTTGTATGTTTTCAAACAGAACAGGGCGAGTGAACAAACAACTTCAAACTTCATATACTTGAAATACTTGAAATACGACTTTGCGATAACATACTGACCCAAAGGCATTAGCTCAAACCCCAACAGGTAACAACAAAATGGAGGCAGAATGCTTAAGAAAATTTCAACATAACAGCCATTTAGCATTCTAGCATGGATACCCTACGCTTACTCAATACAACAAACGTACATCGATCCACACAAAAGTTTAAAGTAAACAGAACCAGAACAGAGGTCTGAATCTGAATTTCAGCGTTAAACAGAGGCAGCTATGATATAAATGTCAAATTTCCTACTTGAACAGTGAAAACGACAGGAGCAAAACACGAAAGCTTGGTCGAGTGTAAAACAAAATTTGAGAAAGCATTCAAACACAATCCCTTTTAAAACTAACTGTCAAGAACCTACATATTCGTACCCTATTAGAGATGCTAATAAATCCCAACCCGACTACTGCGACTCTTATTATATTTTCAATTGACTCCCAAACAGATATAAGAAAAGAGGAGGAGATTGGACCTGATTATGTGAAGCTTTGATTAATTCTCGAAATGAATACAAGCAGAAGGAAAGCGTGACAGTGAATTTCAAAGACAAAGAGCCACTGTTGAAATTCGTAAGATCGGAACCGCGACCGGAAATTTTGAACTCGAACTCGAGCGGCAACAATCAACTGTGACAAACTCAAAATAGCTTCAAACTCTATCGAATTCCATAGCTTAGAAATAAAAATTTAGACGAAGAAGCTGGAAATCTTTTGTATTTTTTTTTGTTTTCTGATTTCGAAATGGAAATAAAACTTATAACGAATTAAGCTCAAACTATTTTTTGGATTTGTATATTTTTCTAGGATTCTCAATAAAATAGAGATGATGAAAATCAGAATATAAGCTCAAGAACCCTAGAACCTTTTATGTCTCCTCCTCTCTATCCGAAAAATTTCAGGGAAAAAAAAATCCTCCCAATCTAAAAAAATAACTCCTCTTAAATAGGTTGGTCTATGAAAAATGGAAGGCTAAGATTGAGTCCTTTTCTCTCAATCTTACGGCTCCCATTAATCAAAATCCATCCATAAGAGTGTGAGCATGTGAGAGTATTCTTGAATGTTCCATTAGGGTGAGGAAAATTTGGTGAATATTCCGAGTTTGTTATGTGTCAGACCACGTGGAAGAAAAGAGAGGAGAGATGGGGGGCATGGCTTACGTGGACTGCCGGATTTTGGATGATTTCCGGCGGGTTTGGGGTGGGGAAACGGCGGCAGAGGCGTGTAGAGGGACGGGCGCCGTTTGGAGAGGGATTAGGGTTAGGATGGGGGTGTTATAATTAGAGTTTTATATGGAGTAGGGAAGGAATAGGGATCGTTGGATTTAATTGGATCAAAGGCTGAGATTAAATCCTTATTTTAAAGGGCTGATGGGTTAGTGGGATTGGGCTTAAGGGTGGGGCTGCCGATTTGGGCCTGGCAGATGGGGATATTGGGCTCGAAATTGCTTATAAATTGGCCATANATATTAAAATCCTAGAAAATTAATATGAAATCAAATAGATATGTATAAAATACTGGAGTAGCTTGAACAATAGATGAGTCAAAAATTACGTGCTTACATATACCAATCAAAATAGTAATAAATTGTGATCCAACTGCCTATTTGTGTAAAGATTCCTTTCACATGCTCCCACAAACTTTCACCCATGTATATTTCACCTCTTTCACATGTTTTTAGGAGCTTTTTAGTTGCTCTGTCCTTCACGTATGGATGATGGGGTGGAATACTTTTATCATGGCTTTTTGGAACAAGGAGGGTGCAATTTTTAATCCGAAGGGCGTGATTTTCCATTGGAAGTGATGATCGGGGATGCAAAATCCCGTTTTGGGTCTTTCTTCAGGGTGGACTCCTCTTTTCCGAGATGTATGCTAGTTAATGTTCAATTCTTCAAGGAGTTTGACAGATCTTATCGATTGGGAACAATTTCTCGCGAAATATCCAATCTTGTGGCAAATAAAATATCTGTTTTTCTTGTGAAAATTTCCTGGCCTTCTTCGTCTGAAATATTTTGTGCACCTCTTGGACCCAAATATGAAAGAAGATGGCCCAATGTCTCCCTTCCAGGACAAAACTATAAGGCCCGTCAACAGGTTCTTTATTGGGCTTTCTGCTAACTAGCCTAGATACGCTTTTAGCTGTTAAAGCTTGACCCAGAAAGTGAATCAGTTGGGTGATCAAAACTTTGCCAAATAAATCTGCTATTTTTATTATATGCAAAACCAATTTAAATATACTAGTGATGGCTGTGTGCATTACGTCGTAGCGGGATAAAAATAATTGTTATTAGTCGACTGACAACATTCAATTTAAAAATGAAGTTTTTGGCACGCTATTTTAAGACAATAGAGATAACTATAGTGACTCGTGCTGTCGAATTTTTGGTCTCATTAATTGCTTTACAATAAACATTCAATTTTTTCTCAATTCATTAAAGATGCTGGCTTTTTTTAGAAACAAGAAAAATAGAACTTAGCACTGTATATTTATTATCCTTAACAACAACAACAATAACAACATACCCAATATAATCTCACATAGTGAGATTTGGGAAGAGTAGTCAGTACGCAACATTACCCCTATCTTGTGAAGGTAGAGAAACTATTTCCAATAAACCCCCGGCTCAGGAAATCATAAGCACCACAATAATAAAAAGAAAAACAAGACGGGACATGATCACGCCCAACTATGCCTCCTAAGAGGTCTAACGGTCGTTGCAAATATAATCAGGTTTACAAGTCCGGAGTCGAATCGCATAGGGAATTAACCTATTAATCACAACCACTAATTTCGCAAGAATTCAAGTAATCAACCTTCAAAAATACTAAATATCGAGTTGAGTGTTTATTAACTAAGATAAGAGTAATTAAAATACAGTAATTTATACTAGTAGAGCAAACGTTGTGGACATGATTTGGAAAAGTCTAGGGTTATGATTTTCCCTATTGTCGAAATCTCCCCCGCTACGTTTTCTATAAATTCGCCTAAGTATTCTCTATCGATCGTGAGTACTTTGGGTGTCGTAGCTCTCTCGAGAGAGAGAGAGAGAGAGAGCAACTACCACAATTTACTAGACATATTCTCTCGAACTACGCTAGTTGGCACTAATTCACCGCTCACTACAATCGCACCAAGGTTTCGTTATCTCTAGTCCCGCCTTTAAACCCTCCATATTGATCTCTCAAATACGTTAGAAGTGGTGTTATTCAACGACTACCTAAATGAGTACTCTCTCTCGAGTAATACACAGTAAATATGCACAGTTAATTGAGAGTTCTTCAATTAATAACAACAAAAGTATAGCTGAACAAGTAGAGAAAGATCAACGGCAAATTTATATTAAACGTAGTGAACAAATCATCCTCCAATAGGTTCCATCAAACCCTAGATGGGAAGGTTTAGCTACTCATAATCATACTAACAATCATGATAATAATTGAAAGCATTAAAATACAGATTAAGGAAAAATGGAAGAGAAACTCTTGTGATTCGTTGCTTCTAAGTGTTCCAGTAGCCTTTTTCCTCTCTAATAATGTCTCCCCCCTAAGAAATAGGTTTAGAACCCATTTTATACATGTTGGGGGCGTGTAGGGTCGAAACTACCAAGTCCTAGCCGAAATAGGATGAAATCCGTCCTTAGCCGTCTCGCTTGGCGCCTGGCGCCAATCAGGACGCTGAAATCTTTCACTATTCTGCCTTTGGCATTTTGGTTGGTGCTTGGCACCAACCTGGGCACCAAAGTCATACCCCCTCCAAATTCTTCTATTTTACTTCACTTCGCATGCAAGCTTGCCAAATCACTTCAGATTGACTCTTACACATATAAACACCATTATTAAGCTCAAGTCACAAATATTTACGCTAAAGTTAATAAGATGGAAGTATAATGCAAGAAAAATTACATGCGAAAATATGGATTTTTAGCCTAACGTCACCACCCCACACTTAAGCTCTTGCTCGTCCTCGAGCAACCTAAAACCTTGCTATTCAAACAATGCACGCAAGACATCATACAATGGAGGAACAATTGACAAGTCAACACACTACACCTATGACCATGGATGATATCAACAATTGAGCTCTTGCATACGCATTCATATCTTTCCTAACTTTCACATGCCGGAAGATTAGTGACCAATTAAAAACACTCAAACAACCTGCCATAACCACCCAACCTCAAAGACCGACTCGTCGCCAATAAGAACTCTCAACTTGTGCATTCACCCAACAAAAGATATTTAATAACGTCACATATCCGTCATGGAATCATGTGCCGCACCAAAGAATAAGAGGGTATTTTGTCCACACATTCAAATATGCATTCGAATATAATTTAAGGACATCACATATATGAACAACGAACTACTCACTCTCACAAAGAAATTCATGTGCACTCCGTGGTTGTACCATATGCTTGCCCGTAGTGTATATATCCAGTAATCTAAGCTCGCAAAATCTAAGATCAATTAGGTCTTTACGGGTTATAATGTAGACTAAGGGACGGGTAGGATATATTTTGGGTGTAGTAACTAACCCTCCTAAGCACTTTAATACACTATACTTTACTTTTAAATACACACTCTTCATGACCAATTCAAGCAATGCCACGAAACCATATACACTTGGCCCTTCTTCTTTAAGCAAAACTAGCCCGGATTGAGAGGACTAGGAGGTGCATTTTCTCTTTTTGGTCATTTTGTATGTTCTTTGCTTTTCTTTTTCTTCACTTTTTTTTTTCTGACACTCTCCATAAGATTAGTATGTCCGGCTAATGATCTTCTAAAACATACATGTACCTTTTGGCTTTTTCTATGGTTCCACTCAAAAGTTACCCCAACTCTCACCTTACTCTTCTAGCGACTTAAGCGTTTTCGGAGGTAAAGGTCCGGAAAGATTTAATTAAGAACAAAATGGGAATCGGCTTGTAATATGGGTGCCAAAGAAAAAGCTTATAGGCTCAAATGGGCTATCTAAGGATAATTTTATTTATGGTGGCATAATAGCTCAATGGACAATCAAAGAAACGGCTACATCATCTCTTAGACTCACAAAGCTTACTTATTTCGCTTCGTCTAACACACAAGGCAAGTACTATACAAACACATGATAGCACAGAATATAATCACATCTCACATCACACAATGCACATGACACCAATCGGTACGGTTCTATTCCAACTCTCAAGTTTAGGCAATTAATCACAAGGTCAAAAAGTATTAAGATATAAAGCACTACATGAACAATGAGTCAAGTAACTGAGAGAAAGCGTCACAGATATGTTAGGAAGGTAATTTGAATGCTACGGCCTAACTATGTTAGCATCAAACCGGTCAAAAGTCCTATAGGACACTCAAGTTTTCTTCCCTCAGTTTCCTAAAAAATAAAAAATACAAAACAACCCGGTTCAAGTTACATCCCTTGAAAAAGAACCGATACCACAAGAAAAATCAAGGGGGATTATTATCTACCTACGACCAACTAAAAATAAATTAAAAAAATATTTTTAAATTTTTTTTATTGAACCTTAATCCCTCAAGAAAGCTGTCCAAGAGATCCATCGTCGGAAAAAGTCCAAATTTTTGTTTTTGAATTAAACTACCAAACTAATTCTACTATACTACATTACTGCTTCTATTAACTACGCAATTAAAATCAATAAGCTAGAATTTAAAAAGAAACTAGAATCTAAAAAAAGAAGAAGTTACAACTAGGTACCGACATAATACTACTACTCATCAAAGGAAATTCCTCACCCCCACACTTAAAAAGAAATGCAGTGTCCCCAATGCACCTACAACAAAAATATAAAGCAGTGGGGTGGATAGAAGGAACTCCCTGGCTAAGCGGACCCATTCGGGTCGTAGTTGGAGCCCTCTCCGTTTGAGTCCTCATCTACCAATCTATGCACCTGCCCCGATCTACTAGACTGCGAACCACCTGTTGTGCTATCCTCCATAGCGCTCATTGATAAGTGGGGATTTTGACTACCTATTAGCGCTTTTTAGCTTTTGTTTTAGTCCAAAAGCGTTTAATTGTGTTCTCGAAAAATAATAAAATGTGCTTAATCACAGGAATATTGGAATATAAACTCCCGAGATGAAATCCAACTCAAAAAGGAGTAATCTAAACTTAAGGACATAAAAGGCACAGAAGCTCAGAAGTGCGGACTGCAGAATATCCTCTGCGTCCGCAGATTATGAAGGAAAAGTTAGCAGAGTTTGGTGCAAAGTGCGGTTCGC